ATAGCGTTATTTAGTTCTTTTGGATTAATGCAAATTCTTGATTTCTTATTCGGTTTCTCGACTACTACTATATTCGAAACCCATGATCTCGGCTTTTTGTTTTTTTTTTCAACAATACCTTTTTCAAACAAGTTATTTAGTTCATTTCGCAAAGGTTCCCTTAACGACGCGATGCCGGCTTCGAGCATTGTCTTTGAGTTCTATAGAAAAATGATTTTAAAACAACCTAATCCATTGAAAATGTGCTCGTATTTATTAAGCAAATCTTGTTTTTGAAAATTTCTTATGCCATTAATTCTTTTGACTATGAAAAACTTTGGCTGCGTTTCTTTATACATTCCGGATAATCCCATTTCACAGCCGGAACAAACAGAATACGTTTGAAATATACGTTAACATATCATCAGGAACATTCTAAAGAATAAGTAAACAAAAACGTTCAGAATGAATAAAGAAATGCAGCCTTTATGTTTTCATACCAAATTTTTTAATAATTTAAACTTTTAATTGTATCTAAATATAAATAAGTTTCATTTTCATTCTTATTTTCTAGTTTTATTTCCTTGACCGATTTTTTTTTTTGCATATGCTCGCGGAATGATATTTTCCTCTACAGTTGTTACAAAACTTCCCAAAGGCCTCTTAAATGGGTTCTACCGCAAAACTTACAGTTAAAATTTCCCTTTTTAAATTATTTATGCTGATTTGGCTCACTTCTTTGCACTTCAGTGCCACCTTCACCCTTGCCCGGGCTCCTTCATACCAAATTTACCACCTCACTACTGCCTTGCATACGTGCCACCTGTTGATTTGAAAGCCCCGCTGAACGTGCTAAATCTACCGCCATCTCCATTGTTAAATCATGTGTATCCAGCAATTTCTTCTGCAATCTCTTGTCATTTGTACCTAATACAATACGGTCACGAATCATTCGATCCTCATTGTCGAAACCACATCTTCGTACTATTTTTTTTCAAATCCATTAAAAAGTTGTCAAAATTCTCCAATTTTCGGCTAGGTTACCACTTAATTTAAACTCATCAACTTTTCTTACGTAATCCACGCTTTTTATGTAGACGTATCGGATCTGTTTGGGTGATCTTTCACGTGGTTTGACACGCAATATGGAACAGTTGTATTGAGTTTAGCTCTTCCCATTTAATTTGGTTCATTTTAAGAATTTAAGAGCCGCTTACTTAAAGATTTTTGCTATAAAATCTGTTTCTTTGTACGCATAATTTTATTTAACTAGTATCGCCCAGTGGTCGAAATTCGACCACATCACTTATTTTATACACTTTTTCATTCTGCTTGTGACGATTTTAAGCTACATCAGCACCTCTTTTCGTCTATGTCACTAATATTGTTAGGTGGGGTATATTCCATCGGTTAAATAATCTTATAATTCATAGGAACAGAAGGAATAATTAGATTTGTATGGGAATTCGAATGCGTAATACTATATATAAGATTGCATGTTGATCCTTTAACTGACATTCGGGCTGAACTTGTACCAATCGGGACTTTAAATAGTTTTTTTTTTAATGTTTCGCTCAAAGTGGCTCTTAGAGGGTTAAAAACTAAATTCGGCACATCTACACCAACTCATCTTTCATTTGATATGAGTTTCATTTAAATCAATGGGGATTAAGTACCACAAAAATCATGTTTGCGTATTAATATATAAGATATAAATATTTCTAATTTGTTACCGCGTGGGTTTTCTTACAAATTATTTTTCACCGGCGTATCGTCAATCTGCATAACCGCGTAACTGACGTTTGCTGCCAAAAATTGGATTTGCTCACACAAGCTCTTGGCTCAATCCTTATCCATTCGTCCTGAAATATACTAGCCAGAAGTGCGATTGCTTTATAAAAAAAGAACCATTTTGAAATATAAGTGTTTTTACTCTCTGGAAAATAATTTATGCAACGTCACATACGAGGTTTTGCATTATCTTGATACGCGG